GCTGCTTTCACTTTCCTTCTTTGAGAGCCAAAGTTGCTATAAATCCTAAATACTCCCTGGAAAGGAAGTTTAACGAACTGAACTTGTACCCGACTGTTGTAATTGCTGTGCAGTTATCGGTCCCTTCTGCGCAGCGCTCGCTGCTCTGGCATTCCAGACGTGGTTCTCCAGCGATGCCAGGTGACTTCATGCCTCTTTTTTATTATTTATTTTTATTTTTTAATTTCCAGGGAGATGTGATACTTCAGTGTGAGCATATCTTCGAGACAGTCACTAAACTCTGCATGCTGGCCAACAAGCAGAACCTTGTTAAAGTTGTGCAGGGAAGGTAAGGAAGGGAGTGCAATGGGTAGTGTTGTGCAGGCTGCATTTTATGGAAGAACCTGCTTCAAAAACCTTGGAGAACCAAGGTCAAAACTATCACTGTCACCCCAGCAGACAGTGCCCTGAACTGAGTACGTCTGGTGCAGGAGCACTGTTGTTTTCATTGCTTCTTCTCACAGGCAGAGGGGAAAGAAGATGGGATGCACTGGAACAAGAAAATGTGTTAAAAACCATCCCAACCTTTTAGATGCACTAGAACAAGAAAATGTAGTAAAAATCATTATGACCTATTTCCCAGGCTAACGAAGCGTGTTCCTATGGTGGTTGTGGTTGCACCTTGCTAGGTGTGCTGCTCTGCTCCAAGACCTGCCCTGGACTCCTCTGCCTAAAACCCAAACTTCTTACAAACTTCTATAAAGTGACTGTACTTTAAAAACCACTTTTTCAGGCTTCTGCTGATGCGACCTGGGCCTGAGGTTGTGGGTTTGGTGGTTTCACAACAGATCTCATTAGCAGCAGCTCTGAGGAAAGCCTGCTGAGCAGGTCACTTCAGGATAAATGCTCTTCTCCCTAAAAAACTCAGAAAGGCCTGAAATGTGATTGCTGAGCACAGGAACCTTCCCAGTCACACCACCAACCAACCTCATGGCAGGTGGATGCAGTCTGTCTCTTAAATCTCTGCATAAATTGAACCTGGCATATGAAACCTGTACTTCTGCTCCAGCTTTTCTCTCTGGCCTTTGTGTTTCAGTTGTAATTAGATTCTGTGTGTTCAGTGGTTTTCTCCAGGTCAGATCTGCTTATCTTCTAGTGCTTAATTGCACCAGGAAAATTCAAATGCCTGGCCCAGGCAGGCATGCTCCATTCATCAAACCCTTCTGGGTTATGTGGTATAATGCAATTGTTTAGGAAATTTACCGAAGCTGGAGGGCTCTGATCTTCTAATTTAACGAGATTTGCCAAGGGAACAGAAATAAAGGGAGCTCAGAGTAAAGCCTATTGCAAGGAAAGCATCTCATGAGTAATTCTGTCTGTATTTGCAGCCTGCAGTTTTGCATCGGCTCTGGGAAGGAAGGGACGATGGTTTTTACCGTTGGGCAGGAGCCTCAGGTCTTCAAAGCCAAAAATGGACAACTAACAGTGGTAAGGCCTTGTCTGAGCACTGGGAATAGGACTTGTGGTTTTTCCTTTGGTGCTCAGCCCCTGTAGAGAGCACAGCCAAGGTCTGGCAAGGGCCCTTTGTGTGAGTTCAGGAGGACTCGAGTCGTCTTACAGAGCAGAGAGGTGAATGACATGATTACCCTGTCAGTATCTGCCTACATAAGATGATGCATAATAGATGATCGTTGGGAGATGCAGCCACACACCTTCCATGTGAATTGTCGCTGCTGTTTACTCTCTCAAGCTATCATGGGGAGAGGAGCAAGGCTCTCTCTGGTTTGGTCATTTAGAGGATCTGGCCTGAGCCCAAATTCAACCTGTACCTGCAAACTTGGGCACCTGCCTCCTCCTTTCGCCACCTCTTGTTACCTCCTTCTAGCAAGTTATTTCTGAACTCAGTCAGGGAATGGAGGGAAAGCATTTCCTGTCACCCAGGCAGGTTCTCTGAGAAGGAAGGACCTGTCTGACTCAGTGGCAGTCTTGGCAGAGGACGGGAGGATGAATTCTGGCTCTGTAGGCAGTTATGGAAAATGGGGGAGCTTTTGCTTCCCTCCTTGCTGATGGTCAGGCAGGGAGGTGGGATAAACCTGCCTCCATTAGCAAGGCAGTAAAGGGCAAGTGTGGCTGGAGGAACAAAGGAATATGTGGGTCTCTGCTGCTTCACCAGTGAGCTTAATGTGTTTGGTACTGGTAGCTGACAGCTCCCAGGGGGAATTACCCACCGTGGTGTAACACCCACGGGCACAGGTCGCTGTCCTTGCAGCCCAGATGTGAAAGGAGCTGTCTTGATCTGCCAGTTGTTAAACAGAAACAACACAACCTCATTTCCCCCAGACAGGCCACCTCCAGGACAGAACATTTGTACTTAATGACTCCTTCTCCTTCTTCTCATCCCAGGTGTCAACCCAGGCAAAGTCTTGATGAGAAACAGTTCCTGTTCCTGGTCAGTGTCAGCCAGGAACGGAAAGGAGCCTGCAGGATGAGACCAGCACTCACATCTCCCCTGGAATCTTTGATGCCATAGGGCTGCTGTGATTGGAGAGTTTGCTTGCATCTTTTAGGCTCTTTTTTTTTTTTTTTTCAACTCTAGCTAAATAAATTCTGTTATGTTACTGTAACATTCCAGTGAGCATAGATGCTCCTTACACAGGCATGGGGAAATACTTAAACCAAAAGTTGCAGTTCCACACACACAATGTCCATCCCTGTGCACTCAGTAAGAGCTGAGAGCGCTGACCAGCCAGGAGGGACTAAGATAGAAGCAAAAAGGCTCCTCTAGCTGGACTCTGAGTCACAGCTCCCCAGAACTGCAGCAAGTGCAGACCAAGGAAGGTACCTCTGGGCTGAAAACACCTTTTCTCTTGGGCAGCCTGGCAAAGCCTTTAGTCCTTGGGCAGGTGGAGTGATGGTGAAATGGAGCAGTAGGGCTGGTGCTGGTATTTTTGTTGGTGCATCAGCCTATGAAGCTGCTCGTCTGGAGTGTTTCTCATCTGCTCTGACATGGGGGAAGATCTTTGCTTTCAGAGTGACACTGTCCTGGTTCTCCCTGCACAGCAGCTGTGCACGGTGCAGTGGAAGCAAAACCATAAATGACCAAAATGATTCCTCTTAAAGAAGGATGAGCTGGCTTGGTGCAGTCTGGTTCAGAAGAAACCAGTCTCCTGCTGCTGAAGAACCTTCATCTCTACCCACAGAGCTGAGACTGCTCACTGGGGAGGTGGCACTGGGGTAGGTACGAGGGGAAGGGGTGGGAGACAGGAATTCCCTCTGCTCCCTGCAGCTCTGCTGCTGCTCTCTATGTTCAAAGCACTTACTGTGCTGCCTCATGTTGAGGCAAACGTGTAGCTCCTGCTCCAGCTTGCTTTGGCTGGGCTGAATCTACAGCCTGGAGATCCTTGATTTGCTGCCTTTAACCCCTGGGATCTGCAGAGTCCTGAGAGCCACAGACAGTGCCAGGAGGTAAAACTACCAACCAGAGGGGAGGATGATGATGGTGTCTGGTGTTTCTGCCTGAAAGTTCCTTCCAGCTCCATGGACCATGAGGACAGCTTGCTTCAAAGAAGTAATAAAGTGACTCGCATGTAAATATGAAATATCTTCTAATTTATTAGGTTATATTTAAAAAAAAAAAAAGAGTACATATTGCAAACATCAACCATACACTGAAATCCAGCTTAAGCTTTTTTTGTGCATAAGTATATAAAGTGGGAGGGAATGATTGTACAGAACAGATGCATGTGCTGTTCTTGTCCATAAATGGAACAATTCCCTTAAGAGGGAAAAGTTCTGCCTCCCCTTTGCTCTAAGGGAAGACTGGAGCTTGGGGCCTTCCACAGGGGCTCTAACCAGGTGATGTCCTGCAGCAGGTGGAGCTTGGGGTGGGATCCAAAACCTGAGGGGAAAACAGGAGCAGCTGTTTTGGTGCTACAGCTACTCTGATGTGTGTGGGAGTAAACACCCTGTCAAGGAGCTCTGAGCCAGGGGCTGGTGGTCACTCTTGCCTCCAGCACACGGTCCTGACTGTGTTACAAGCTGCAGATCCTCGTCCAGCTTCTCTGCATTATATGGATGAAATCACTTCCACAGGTAAGATTTTAGTCACTCTGCCCTGCTGTCTGTCACCACTGGTGTCTGTTACGGGGTGCTGGAGAAGCAAAGCAGCCAGCTCTGTGCTCCCCGTTAATACGAGGTGGTACTAGATCATCTAAAGAGCTGCTTGTGCCCAGGACAGCTGCCCTGTTCCCCATCTTCACCTGAAACCTGGAGAGGCAAAACCATTACAGTGAAAAGGCTCAAGAGCCGGGAGCGTTTGTGCACTGGCATTAACAGAGTCTCTCTCCACAGACCGAGGTCAAGGGGCTGGTAGGGAAGGGACGTTCTAACACGACAGCAGCACGTCTTTACCACACAACTACAGCACACAGAGGGTTAAGTCAGGAGTGGGTTAAGGCAGAGTCTGCCCATAAATGCAGTAACAAAACTGAAACTTACTCAGACTCTCCTGGAGTGACGTACTGAACCAAGAGCTGTATAAACCACTGTACAAAGATTAAAAATCATCATCCCCTGGTTTTTGGGGTTTTTTTTAAGAACTTAGTTTGCAAAAACCTGAAAGAAGAACTCCTGAAGCCAGGTAAGAATCTATTTACAGAGAAGTTAATCACACAGGTGTGATCTGTCAGGTGCTTAGCACTGCTGTCACCATGGGTCACTTCCTGGAGCTGAACCTGCTCCTGTCCCACAGGACGTGACTGGGGTTTGTGTGAGCGGCCAGTGCTGGTGACTGGAGTCTCCCCAGCACCGTACGGGGAAAGCAGGTAGCTCAGCACAGCTGAGGGTGGAGGTGGCCTGTCCCTCCTGTCTCACAGGAGAGAGCCAGGGCTAGAGAGTTAATGACATGAGCAGGGTTTGCTGCAGGACTATCAGTGTCTTCTACAACTTCCTCTCACCCACTGATGGGTGGCAGGAGCAGAGGGGGACGGCTGAGACACGGGAGTCGGACTGAACGGCTTTACAGAGCGCAGGGACTAGACCCTGTGGGAGCAGCAAGTCTGTTACAGACACTCAGAAACCCAGGAACAGCCCAGCAATGTACCAGTCAGTGTCAAAGTACAGAGTGCTGGAGAAACAGAGCCCTTCAGAGGACTTCCCTGCCACGCTCCCCAGCTTATCACACCAGGAAGGTAAGAAGGGAGAGGCACCGGGTCCTTCAGAACAATCTGCACTATGGACTTCTACAAACCCCGAGTGTGTTGCAAACACATGTAAGCACAGCTTAAAATCAAAGCCTGGAACCATCAGGATGTGGCTGAAGCTGCTGGACACCAGCGTAACTGGTCCATCTGCTCACTGCTGAGCTCGGGCTTATGGAGCAGTAGCTGAAGAAGTACGAGGAGAGGCGCCGGGTACAACAACCACCTCTGGCAGGGACAGCGGCTGTGTCAACTTAGCAAAGTCTTTGGTTACTAGAAAGGTGACCTCAGCCTAACTCTGAAATCTTTTTAGCTTTACTTGATGATCCAAATTGTACCACTGAGCAAGCACTTAAGGCTTTATTTGAGCCTCTACAGACACGGGAGACACAGTTTGGGCTCTACCTGCTGTGTGAATAGAAGCGCTGCAGTGACGTAGCTGGTGATGCTGCCAACACCTTTGGTTTTTAAAATATTAACGTGTTGTTCGCAGCCCTGAGCCGGGAGGAGGAATCCTTGCAGCAGGAAGTTGGGCAAAAACAAGTCACCACCTCACTGAGGAACAGGACCATGGAGCTGCTGCTCTGTGGGAGGTGTCTGCCCAGTAAGACCAGCGCTAGATATTCCAGATGAAGGGTCAAAAAACTCTGCAATAGGCCAAAGTACTCTGGTGTCTGCCAGGTGTCAGCCTGACTGCATGTTTAAGACTTCCTACATCAGGTTTCTCTCCCTCTCAAGACTTGTTACGTTACCCATTGCAGCTGGAGCTCTTTAGCATCCAGCCCTACTGAATAACTCACCATCTTCCACTCAGTGTTACTTGACTCCACAACAGGCAACAAGAGACGAGGAGGTAGATAAAATATTCATTTAGAACAGAAAAGTGTTCTTGGAAACTACACTACCCAGGTCTGCTCTACACAACATTTTAGCTCTGCCCTTTCCCACACAGCTGCCATTTCTGAAAAGACTTGGAATATGCTCAGGATAAAGTCAAGCATGGAGTAACTGCCTCTGGGCCCCTGCCTGCTCCTCCTCCCTGCGGTACTCGCGCTGCCCTCGCTCAAAGCACGACAATGCTCCTGGATCCGTTACAGACCTGAACTACGGCCGCTGGCCTCCTACCTGGGCTGGGCTGAGCTGGCCCCGGGTGTTTGAACCTGTGACAACGACCATTTCACCTGCAGTAAAGCCAGCACAGCTTCCTGCCCTGTGATCTGATAGAAAGAAACTCCCCAGCTGAGACCTGGGGTCAGGCAGACTGGTACCAACACCACCTTAAGAAAAAACAATCACATCCAAATTGCTCCTGATCCTCCTTTTGGAGGAATTTTAACATCTTCCACCCCTAAAGCAGGGCTGGGTCTCCACAGATCAGTGCTGGAGAAGCTCCACTGAAGCCTTTGAGGAGCAGGTTCCAAGAGCTGCAGGGAGCCCAGGCAGCTCCCCCTGCTCCCCCCCACTGCTCTGAGAGGGTCATTCTGACCCCCAGCACTGCAGGAATCGAGTCAGCACGTGTCATTTGTCCTCCTGGGAGTCCCACCAAGGAACTCCTGAGATACCAACCCTATTGCCTACAGGCCTGGGAGAAAGGGAGCTCTGCAGCGGCCCCGGTGTGTTTAGATCACGGCGTTTCTCCCACGCCTGAACGCGGAGGAGGAGACGGTGCCTTGAGGGAAGGCAGACAGCTGACTGACCACTTTTTGTTTTTCATTTAGTTTTGTTTTTAAAGTGCAGGATAATTACTAAAGCCAAAGGAAGCCAGCCCTCTTCCTCTCTAGCCACAAAATAGCAAAGACAAGAGTGCTAAAAATTCAGGGCATCTCTCCAGCCGCTCAGTCGGTCCGTACAGCATCTATCGTGTGCCCAGTGACCTTATTTATTCTTGCCCTAGAACTACTGCATTTAAATACCCCAAATAATCTATTTTGTTACAAAATGTAATTTACAGACTTTGCTGAACAGAAGTTAAACCACCTGGTCCTCTGCTGCAGGTAAGTGATCAGATGAAGGGCAGCACCTTCCAGGGCTGGGCTGGGCTCACTGATGCAGATGGGCTCTGTCGTCCGGACGTTTGATGTGAATTCTTCGCACGCGTTCAATGCGCTCTCGCTCCTCGTCTTCATCTAAGTGATGGGAGCGGCCAGCTGCCCCTCCTGTGGCTTCCAAGAGCGCGTTGTCAGGTCCCCTCCCATCCTGGGACTCATACAGCAAAATGTTCAGTGTCTCCTCATAAATTCGGGCTTCTGGGAACTCCACCTGCGCACCCAAGAGAGAGAAGGTTGCTCTCAACTATTGCCAGTCCCCAGGCACCAGGTTACCTTTATTCCTGATCCCTTTCTGGTTTTAAAATTTCTTAATTGCACTCTAGCCACAGAAATCCCTCCTAGCACAATTGTTTCTGTTCTGT